ATGAGTCAGCTCATGAAAACAACTCTTCAAACAGCCCCATCTTTTTTTTTCCAGACATCCACATCAGCTCAAATAAAGAGATGGGGCTGCTTTAACAAGTCAGCTCATGAAAACAATTCTTCTAGCAGCCCCACCTCTTTTTTTCAGACTTCCACATCAGCTTAAACAAAGTGATGGAGCTGTTTTCATGAGTCAGCTCTCCGAGCAGCCCCATCCTTTTTCAGACTTGCATGGAAAGCTAAAAAGAAAAAGAAGAGACAGTTGCTTTTAGAAGCAGCTGGAGGTGCTACGCTCACATAAAATCTGTAGCACTTCTTCTGAATCATTCGAGGCTAAGTTTACGCTAGTTGGAGTTAGGGAATCGTCCTTCCCATCTGTTAGATTTCTGCAAGATAGCAAGCTCCTATTAATCATGATGTTTTGGATTTTAGGTAGAGCCAAACAAAGTAAGAGACCAGAAGTTCTAAAACCCAGAGCCCAGTTTACTAGCAATTTTGTTTTCGTCAGAAGGAGATAGAACAAGTTCTGCACAATATCTGTACAAGATTTTTCTGCCCAACCCCAAAAAACCTCTTGGAACGATCTTGAATTCGCTGGAAATAACCTTGAATGGGCAATGAAATGCAGAATGGTGTGATTTACGAGTATTGTCAGTACACTCTGATCCTCGAGTACGTAGATTTGCCAAAGCTCAGTCTGGAGAAACATTTATTTAGCAATGTTTGTAATGTTACAAAGGCTTTCCAAGCTGGTCAAGGCAGCTCCACTAAAATTGATATAATGGGAATTCAAGGGGCAGGTGAAACACAGGAAGTAAATCAATTTTAGAGCACTAATAATAGAGATGGAAAAGTAGGTTTTCGAAGTGCAGAGAACAAACCAATCACTCTACTGTAATTACAGTAATTAAGTTCTGCAGCTTTTATTTATGTTGAGTTGTTTAATACAACGGAAATGCAAACAAGCACACACAGGACCACATCCATCAGATAACTAAACTCTGATCTGACTTTTGATCGTATCTTTTGGCCGCTTTTGAGGCACGTCTCAAATCACGTGGACTAGAAACTTAGCTTCAAAAGTTATATGGAGGATGGGAGCAACTGGATGCAGAAAAACTGCAGAAAAAACAATTACTACCAACCTGCCTTCCATCGAGGACCTGTGTACTGCACAAGTCAAAAAGAGGGCTGTGAAAATATTTATAGGCCCCTCACATCCCTGACATAAACTGTTTCAACTCCTTCCCTCAAAACGTCGCTATAGAGCACTTCATACCAAAACAACTAGACACAAGGACTGTTTTTCCCCCGAACGCCATCACTCTGCTAAACAAATAATTCCCTCCACACTGTCCAACTATTTACAAAGTCTGCACTACTATTACTATTAATCTCTTCCTAACTCATTATCACCCATCCCCTCCCACTTGTGACTGTATGACTGTAACTTGTATCCTTACGATTTATATTGACTGTTTCCTAGTATGATTTGATTGCTTATTGTACCCTATGACTATTATTAAGTGTTGCACCTTATGATTCTTGACTCTTGACAGATGTATCTTTTCTTTTATGTACACCAAGAGCATTTGGAGGCGTGCATAAGCGCACCAACGTGCCTACTGTCCCTGTCCTATTGTTTCTTTTATTTATTTATTTTTCTTATATGTATCCATGTATTCATAACTATGTTTTTACTTATACCTATTACCTTGTAAGCAATTGACAAATTAAAAAAATACAAATTCCTTGTGTGTCCAACCACACTTGGCCAATAAAGAATTATTCTTCTTTAACAACACAAAAGAGAGATTGCAATTATTAATTGTCTGTCTATAAAATATAGTACCCCATGACTATCATTAAGTGTTGTACCTGATGATTCTTGACTCTTGACGAATGTATCTTTTCTTTTATGTACACTGAGAGCATTTACACCAAGACAAATTCCTTGTGTGTCCAATCACACTTGGCCAATAAAATATTCTATTCTATTCTATAAAATGTGTAAACTCCTTGCTACTAATCAGGAACATATACCAACTAATACTTTTTTAAATTAAAAGATATATGCACATTCAACAGCTGATGCCTTTTATAAAATTCATTAATCAGAAAAGGGGCTATCAGATTCCCCCCCCACACTTTTTTACTTCTTCTATTATCCTGCAAGTGGAATACTAAGCCAATAAGGAGCAAGTTGTGCAGAGGTGTTTAAAACATTGTGCAAAATATTAAAGCATCAAACATTGCTAGGCAGTGTTTAAATCAAGGGATATTTTTTTTTAAAATGTCATTTATCTGTGTGGTTAATCCTCAACTTTACAACCAGAATTGAGCCCAAAATTTACATTGCTACGTAAGATATTTGTTAAGTGAGGGGTTTTTTGCCCTCTTTTATGACTTATCTTGCCACAGTTGTTGTGAATCACTGCAGTTAGGAACGAGATTGTTAAGTGAATCTGGCTTCCCCATTGGCTTTACTTGTCAGAAGTTCTCAATGACCCCCAGACACTGCAACCGTCATAAATATGAGTCAGTTGCCAAGCATCCAAATTTTGACCATTGGGGATGCAGCAACAGTCGTAAAAACAATTATAAGATCATTTTTTTTCAGTGTTGTTGTAACTTTGAATGGTCAAAGTCAATAGAAAAATAAGCTGAATGTATTAACTGAGTAATTGTTTAATAGCAATCATTGAGCTCAGGATCCAAAAAGATCCACTCCTGACCTCACCCCATTCCTAAGAGGTCTGTAAGGGGTGTGCATAAGTGCACCATCGTGTCTCCCGTCTCTGTCCTATATCCCCATTTAATTGTACCTATTTTCTGTATTCTTACTCATGTTTATACTTATACCTATTATTTTGTAAGCGATTGACAAGTCAAAATAAATAAAATAAAAATAAATAAATCTTGACAAACTTGAACAATAGCTCCTATCCAACAGCATGACATTTAATGTGGAGAAAAGCAAGGTTTTACACCTGGGCAGGAAAAAAAAACCAAAGGTACAAGTACAGATTAGGCGAAACCTGGCTCAAAAACAGTAACGGTGAGAGAGGGACCTTTGGAGTCCTAGTGGAACAATCACTTAAACATGAGCTAGCCATGTGCGACAGCAGCCAAAAACAGCAAATACAATCCTTGGTTGTTATAAACAGAGGCATAGAACCAGCGTGAAGGATTAGTATCGCTTTATAAAGCCTTTAGTAAGGTCACACCTGGAATACTGCATCCAGTTTTGGTCGTCACATTACAAAAAAGAGGTTGAGACTTTGGAACAAGTGCAGAGAAGAGCAACTAAGAGGATTAAGAGCCTGGAGATTTAAAAAAAAACATATGAAGAATAGTTGCAGGAATTGGGTATGGCCAGTCTAGAGAAAAGGACGGTGGGGGACCTGATAGTAGTATTCAGGTATTTGAGGGGTTGCCACAAAGAAGAGTGGAGAGGTCAGCTTGTTTTCCAAAGCACCAGAAGTCAGAA